ACTTAATTTGGAGGAAACATGAGGTCATTTAATAGTTGGATTTTTCTGTCTGAATTTTACATTTTATTTCACCTAGTGAGATTCTTTTGAAAAGTAAGGCCATTACCCTATTTTTATATGTTGTTTCTAGAAGTTAAAGGTGTTAAATCCTGTGTAATTCAAATAGAGTTTTCCCAGTAGGTATGAGGGAGGTTCACAACACTGTGTTTTATGCATAAGGTTTTCACCAAAAATTGTTTAAAAGCATTGCTAAATTGTATGTTTCAAATAAAAGTAAAATTAAGTTTGATAAAAAAGGCATTTGTTGAAATATTAAAAATATTCAAAGAACATCAAATTGGATGATCAGTCACAGCTCCTGCCAGCCTTTTCCTCTGTTGCTCTGCTGTAGAAGAAGTCATGTTCATAAGGACTCAATCAGGACTGCAGTGTCCCCAAGTTCATTGATATGACCTAAATCCAGAACAATTTGATCCCAACAAATTCATCATGCACTATGTTATATTTTCTCCTTACTTATTCCCAGTCATGTCCGGGTCTGCATGCACTGCCTAGTAAACTCCAGTGAATCCATCTGGGGATTCAGAATGAGATCTTCTCTCCAAATTAAACAATATAATAATAGGAAAAATAGATTACAATTATTCTTCTAGTCCATTCTTTTGAATTTCAGCTTTAAGTGAAATCTACTGTTTAAAACATAATTTAGTCATTACTAAAGCAATTCACAGATAAAGCTTCATGAAGTCATGGTGCTTTTCATCCATGTTGACTCTTCTCATGATAGTGAACTAAAGATGAACAGGCTCCCCACTGCACGTTATTGCAGTATAAAGTCAACTCTACTCTAAAAAAGCCACAGTTAGAAGGCACCATGAAAAAAAATGTTCCTTGCCTATTTTCTGTAGCTCATTTCTGGAGATATCATGGCTTCTGGTGAATTACAATAATGAATACATTGATGCAATTAAATCTCCACCTAGTAGCAGGTGCCAATTGTTCTACCAACAGTTAAGATGGCCTCCCTTCAACTTTCTTGAACTCTGAACAGTTTTATGCAACCCTTGAAAACTAGATAGATCTCACCTATCTCAGGGACCATAGTAGTAAATGGTATTTGCCACCAATTTTCTATGTTCATGTTGGAGACATGCTAGCCCTGTCTTTACCTGCTCAGTGTAGCTCAGCTCCATTCTTTACACATATGTTAGGAACATGATCTTCTGGGTAGAGTCTAACGCCTGCCGTTCAGTTGTTGAGTTCTCTGTGCTGCAGAAGCTTCCATGGCAACTTCTTTTTCTCCCATTGGCTTGGTTGTGGGCCTTTTCAAAGCCTCATTGTGGAGAATCATCTCATTCTTCTCCTAAGAATTTTTACCTCCCCCCCATTATACTCCCATCAACATCAATTTCCAATAGCTCAGGGTAGAAATGTGGTGCCTGAGGAGGGAGAAGCAGGAAACAGCCTTTTTCACTAAGACCCTCAGGACTTTGGTTAACATGAAGATTTTCCTAAGGCTCTTATCTCAATGAAAGCAATTGGTAACTTTGCTAACTACAGCCTTTATCTTTTTCCATTTCCATATGTCTGCTCTGAGGGAATGCCTACAAACAAATTTCATTTAGAAGGAAGAGCAAGAATCTTCCAGTGTGATAAATGTCTCTAAGGTTTTTCCCCTCACACCTCAGTGTAAGCCTTACAGTGTTTTTGATCATGTTGGCACTCTAAGTGGACTGACATTCACTGTGCTCTGTTCTCTGCTTCAGTCTATGTAGCATCTAAAGTGAAAAAGCCAGCCAGGGCTGGTACCTGCTGCTTCATCTGAGGCTGCACTATTCTCAAAGCCAAGACTAAAAGAGGATGGATTGATTGGCAGACCCTCTTAATGTCCCTCCCCCATCCTTTCTGTTAAACATAAATAATACAAGCTTATTCACTTCCCTCTGACAAACACTAGTAGGGCTTTGTTCCTGCATTGATGGGGTGGGCATCTAGTCACAATGTCGTAGTTGAGAATGAGTAAATAATGGTGGCCATATGCCATCGGCTATGCTCAGTGGTTCAATGCTGGTAGGAACAAAGCGGACTCCCACCACTGATCTGTCCAGTTAACACTTCCTCTCATCAGCTGTGTCCCCGTACAAAACCATCCCATGATTCCTTTCTTCTTTTTCTTTTTACAACTGTCCATCAACTAAGGTTAATCATGACAATGGTGCAACCCATGTGAAAGAGATGGAGCCTGTGAAGGACTGAACACAAGAAGATAATGAAATTGTCCATCCATAGTTACTCAGTGGGGTTTCTCCTTAAGTCCGGACCCCCAGATCAAGCTTCCTACAGCTTCCCTGTGTATTCTGGATGCAGAGACGAGGGGCAGTCACCTTTGCCTTCTGGAATACTTTGCATAAGAGGAACAGTGTGATCTGGAAACTCCCTGAGAACAGCCGAGGACTCACCCAAGTCACTTAAACGCTGTCACTCTTCTCTCCACCTGCCACACTGCAGTAATTTCAGTCTCAGTAAGATAAACTCTCTACAAATCAACATAAATGTGGTGTAAAGAGGCTTTTATACTTGAAATAAGATAGAGTATATACCTTCAGACAGATCTGAGCTTATCAAGACTGTGAATGTTGCCTCACAAGTTTGTACCTACAGCTTAGGCAGTGACTTCCTCTCACAGCAAAGAAGACTTCTTGTCCTTCTATGATCAAAAAGAAAGCCAGCTTATTTGTGTAAAATAGATCCCTGGAACTCTCATTCAGTCCATGGTGATATATTGTTATTAATTTCGACAAATACTCTGATCTTTAATTCAAATAATAAAATTTAAGAAGGAAAATCATTATGGACAATACTGGCTTTTGCTGAAATCATCATATCATATAGATTACATATACATGCATATAAGTATCACCAGTTTTTATTTCTGAAACAGGAATCCATATCCACTGGCTCCTATGCCTTCATCTTGCAATTAGCAGAAATGCTCCAGAGTTCGTAACTGCCACTCAAGCTCCACCTCAAATCACTTTTTTTTTTTTGCATCATCTACAGGGAGTTTTACAGGTAATCCCAGAGGTCCAATCTAAACCCGAAAAATGGAAAAGAATGGAAAGGAATTTCAAGCTAAATATTGTTAATATTCTGACCCACCCCTTAAAATCCCGCCCCTTGGTACTGCCCTGCATCCCAATGTAAAGGAAAAACCCTTCCCATTCCTCTCTCTCTTCAGCCTTTCCTCCCCATGAGGTGTGTACCCCTTGGCCCCCTCTCTCTCATCCTCTCTCTCTTTCTCTCTTCTTCCCCTCTTTCCTATCTTTTTCTTCATCTCTCTATTATAATAAACTCTCCACATGGATGCAGTGCCTGGGCGTGAATGACTTTCCATGTTCCACCAACCCCGCTGCATCTGCCCAGCATGTTTTTGCTCACACATGCGCCCTGGTCCAGCCAGCCTTGGGTCCCCTGCGTGCATAATTCATAGCATTAATGTTAATATTTTTACCTGCCCCTTGAAATCCTGCCCCTTGGGGCCACCCTGTGTCCTGATATAAAGGAAAAATCCCTCTCCTTCCTCACTCTCTTTAGCTCTCTCTCTTTCCACTCCCAGGAGGTGTGAACCCCTCAACACCCCACTCCCTCTTTCCTTTCTTTTCTCCAGTCTCTGTATTATAATAAATCATTTTAGCATGGATGCAGTGTCTGGGTTGTGAATGTCCACCCACAGGGTATGGGTCGCACACCAGCCCACCACTGCATCTGCCTAGCATGCCAGCATGTTTCCCTGCACATGTAGGACACTCTCAGGGTCCCCAGTGCATAAGTCATAACTAATATAGCTTGGGAAGAATATGGTGATGACATTGTCCTTTTCTTAACCCACATTCTACAGAATGCATCTCAGCTTTGTGATACAGCCAAGGGCAGAGCTGAGAATCACAGCCTGTACCTCGGAAGCTATACCCAGTGATAAGCCATGGTACAAAGTAAATGCAAGTTGTTCACCTGAATCATGGGAGACCCCTCCATATAAGGGAGTGTCTTAATTAGGGTTTATATTAATATGAAAAAAACACCATGACCCACAAAGTAAGATGAGGAGGAAAAGGTTTATTTGGCTTATACTTCCATATTGCTGTTCATCATCAAAGGAAGTCAGGACAGGAACTTAAACAGGGCAAAAAGAAGCTGTAGGCAGGAGCTTATGCAGAGGCCCTGAAGAGGTGCTGTTTACTGGCTGGCTCACAATGGTTTGCTCAGCCTGTTTTCTTACAGAACCCAGGACCATCAGCCCAGGGATTGAACCACTAACAATGGGATGGGTCTTCTCCAATCAGTCTCTAATTAAGAAAATTCCCTACAGTTACATCTTATGGGGGGCATTTTCTTAATTGAAGTTCCCTTCTTTCAGATAATTCTATCTTCTATCCAGTTGACATAAAACTATCCAGCACAGGGTGGTAGGAAAGAATGTGGGTGGCAGAGTTCTGTGTGTCCAGAAATGCTTGAGTCATTATGAAGAAACTGTGTTTTGAGCAGCTGTTGGAAACCTCTTAGAACACTGCAGCGTATGGTCTAAGATGAAGATCATTTACATGTATTGACAGTAATTGTTCCAATTTTAGTATATGTGCTGCCGAAGCGAGCACAGTATTGACAGTAATTGTGATATATAAAGTGTATGAAAAGGTCTCTGCTCACAGCTTCTATTGTGCAATTAATGACAACCATTTCCAGGAAACACAAAGAATTTCCTCCATTTCTGATCTTCCTAGTCAATGCCTGGACCAAGTTGTTGGTCAAATATTTTATGTATCACTGTTTCAAGGAACCAAATATATAAAATAATTGAATATAAAGCCAAGAAGAGATTATTTAAAATATATAAAATAATTTAATAGAATTCCAGGAAGATATATTCATATTTGTTGACTTATAAAAGATACTTTGATAGATCTAAAAAATTTTACTACTTTGTAAAATTATGTAGTACAAATAGACCAGTGCTCTCTAAAGTGCAGGCATCCTACTCAAACTGTAATTTCATTCTTCCTTCTCTTAGTAGTACAGTCCATTTTGGTCAAGGAACATTGAAGGTTTTCCTGCAGGATTGCTAATAATTCTTGAGTTGAGTGTTTCTTTTGATATCTATGCCAATGAGACTGTATGACCCAGTGTGGCATGCAGTTTGCCTCCATGTCTTAAGAACCCTGGTAGCATCACTTAGCCCTTTCAGTGTTACCAAACCTGGGCACTCATAGTTGCCCTCCAGGCTTTGTGTTTTAAGATCTACCTGGAGACATAACCCATCAATGAAAGGAGGTTCACCAAAACTAAAAATAGTCTATGGGGCAGTGAGATGGATCAGCTGGTGGAGAGGCTTATGGAAAGGCCTAACCACCTGAATTCAGTTCAGAGTTGTCCTCTGCCATGGCCTGCATAAACCTACAGGGAGAGAGAAAGAGAATAAATAAAGTAAAAGTAATTCATTTAAAATTAGAGCACGTGAGGAGCAACAACATTTTTAATATAAGTTACAGAAACAAGCAAGGGACTCAATAAAATAGAAACATCATTTTAGAACTTTTATTAAATATTTATAACCTGCTTAAAGTTTGACAATTGATTTAAAATTTATTTATATGAAATTAAAATTATTGCTTACATGAAGATTTTGCTGAATCTTTGAAAGCCGTTTCCTACTTCAAAAATAATATTAATTTTTCTTTTTATTCATAAAGTTGTAGAAGGAGCTCTTTCTCATTGAAATTTGTGCATTTCTATAGTTAAAACAGTACATGCCATGCCTGGTCAGAACTTTGTTTCACTCTGTCAACACAAGGCAGGTTGACTCCCCCACCTTCTCAACAGCATTGATGCTTATTGCCAAAGTGTATAAATCTGTGAAGCAAAATTAAGGAACTTGATTTATAATAGGGTCAAGTTTTATTGATACTATTAAAATGAAAAGAAATATATCTCACCTGGATGTTTAATGATGTCAAATAGTGTCTGAGTTACCCTTGAGTTTTTGTGGCAGATGAATGGTACCTGCCGTTACTCCTGCGACTAGGATTTGGTGTTCTGTGGTTATGAACCAGAGTCACCATGAGCAAATCAGCTCAGAGTGTCACTGGGGCCAACAGTGCTTTTCCATCTCCTTGCTTTGTAGAATGGCTAACCTATGATGTGGCCAGAACCAGCACATAGTGAGTGAAGCCAGACTCTGACTGTGCTGAGCTGCTAATGATAAATGGTAAGCACGAGGCTCGTACTGAAGGCAGAAAATGGTTGTATTTCAGTACGATGAGTGCCGCATGAGCTAGGAAGGAGAGAGAGTCTGTGGTGCTTAAGCATCAATCCCCACAGCTGGAATAATCCACTTGACTGGAGCTTAATCACCCTAGTTTCACACTGCTGACAGGGCTAGGTTTGCCAAAGTGAAGGCAGGGGTGGGGGGAATAGGAAGTCCTTCTTATGCCTGTTTTTCCTTCTCTTGTCTTTTGTGTCTCATTGAAGTAATGCTATCAAGACTACAGAGAAGATTCCTAAAACTTTAGGATAATTTATGCATATTTAGTTTTGCCAAACTTGAATATACTCACAGTAGTTATGACGACACACACACAGAATCTGCACAAGCCAGACAAACCACACACATGGAGAGGGAAAGTGGTCACAAATTCCAACTTCTGGGTTAAGAGCTGTGGCAATTGATGACTGCTGGGGGGAGGGGAAGGTCAGTTTCCTAAAGTCATGCAAATACTGACAGGGCTAAGTGGACTCAATGGGTTTAGAAAAATGAGGTGCCTGAAGTCAGGAAGCAAATGTTGTAGGGGTGGTCAGGGAGGATTTATAAGGGATGGAGTGAGGATAGCAAACCAAGATACATTCATTATATGCATGCATGAAATTCTCAAACAATAAAAAAAGGGAAAAAGACATTCATAGCTAACAGCAGTGACTCATAAAAGCACCCATAGATGTGACACCTATCCTGTTCTCCATGTAGCATCTCACTAATATTTGTCTCTATGAATGTGTCATGAGCCTCTATCTGCCTGGGGCATTCATGCTACTCTTCAGGTTCAGGGTCATGCAGGGTGTCTGATGTATTGACTGACAAGCAAGAGTAACTCAGCTTGGTGTAAATTTTAACTACATTTTTTTTCTTTTTTTATTATGTGTTATTTCAATTATTGTTGCATAACTTTGGCTTAAAATATTTTATTTGAATTATAACATACAGTTCAGGAAATGCACATTTAAGCTTGAAATAAACCCTGTAACTCAGATGAAAATTATTTAAAATTAGTTCATAGATGCAAAGGGGGTGAGTTTGAGTTTTGATATAAGAATATTCCCTTGGCCGGGTTCCCATGTCTCAACCAAGCATTGGTCTTTAATATTTCATTATTTTTTGTTGTTTTCTTCAAAGTTTTTATTATTTTGTTGAAAATTTCAATAATTTTGAAACATATTCACACCCCCTCCCATAGCCCTCCTTTCTACTCTTTCATCCCTTCCCATCCAATTTTGGGGTTTCTTCTATGTAGTCAGATGTTTCTCCAGTCCTGTCAGGCCCTGATGTCAGGATGAATCGCTCCCACCTGCATCCCTGTTTGGCCCCAAGTAAACACACAGAGGCTTAAATTAATTACAACTGCTTGGCTCAGGCTTATTACTGACTAGCTCTTACACTTAAATTAACTCTTATACTTATCTAGATTTAGCCATGAGGCTTGGCACCTTTTCTCAGTTCTGCCTTGTCATCTAACTTCCTCTGTGTCTGGCTGGTGACTCCTGATTCTGTCCTTCCTCTTCCCAGAATTCTCCTAGTCTTCTCACCCCACCCAAACTTCCTGCCTGGCTACTGGGCAATCAGCACTTTATTATAACTTATAATATCTCTGACCCCCTCTTCTGCAAAGATTCCCAAGCCTTTGGAGTAGAAAGTGTGATAGATGCATGCCATTTAGGGCTGAGAACTCCACAGAATCTTATCCTATGACACTGATATTTTGAGAGTCTCAGTGTTAATTGCCATTTACTTTAAGGAATAGCTTTCCTGATGATGGTTAAATGATTCTCCAACCTTGGGGTATAATAGTCAGTCATTAGCATTTATTTTAATACTATGCCCATTTAGCAGAATAACCATACTGGATTATCTTCTAGACCTAAGATACATTTAGGCACCAAATCTTGGACATATTAATAGTGCTAATCCTGAGTTTTATCTCATAGAGTGAGCCTTAAAGCCAACAAGAAATGGTTTCTTACTCTTATAATGCTCATGCCACTACTGCACTGATGATCATGCCTTTCCATGCAAGTCACTGACATAGTTTTTGGGGTTCACAGCTGTGTGAAATTAAGGATCACTTTTCTCTTCTGTCAGTACACATAGCTTTTTCAGCATTGTGAGCACTAGACAGTAGGAGGGAAGCTTTCAGGTGCTTACCACCTTAATTTCTCCATCTTTTGTGACTCAAGTACATGGTAGCTTCAACAATGGGGTCTTACTATCAAGTTCTGTAGTTTTGCCAAGAATATTGGCAATGGCCTGTAAATCTTGAAGATCTGCAAGATGAATTGGCCAACAACTCAAAAGAGATAACTAATATTTGATACTGGGATTTTTACTTACTAGCATGAACTATCTAGTTGTGATTTTATCCTCTAGTTGTAGAATATTTCCACTAAACCTCTTTTTCTATATGTATATTATGTATTTAGGAAGCACCTACAGCAGTGGGTTTCCATATGACTTTTCAGAGAACTTAGTATATAGAGCAGGCTGGCTTCAAATTCACAAATATCCACATCAACCTCTACTTCCCAAGTGCTGGGACTAAAGGATGTGCCACCATATCCAACCCTCTACTGTGCATCTTTAAACAAAGGGTCATTCTTCCTGGGCCATTCTGTAAATTTGAAGGCTTATTTCAAGAATCTATTACCATAGCATATTTATATGTTTTTCTTAAATTAAGCAAACACTGTAGCTAGAATTTTCCTGCCTTGCCCACAGTCAGGACAAATATTTGCCACCCGCCAGTGCCACAGCTGCTCAGACCCAACCAAGTAAACACAGAGACCTATATTGCTTACAAACTATATGGCCATGGCAGGTTTCTTGCTAACTGTTCTTATAGCTTAAAATAATCCATTTCCATAAATCTATACCTTGCCACATGGCTCGTGGCTTACAGGCATCTTCACATGCTGCTTGTCCTGGCGGCGGCTGGTAGTGACTCCTTCTGCCTTCCTGTTCTTTCTTTTCCCCTCTTTGTTAGTCCTGCCTATACTTACTGCCTAGCCACTGGCCAATCAGTGTTTTATTTATTGACCAATCAGAGCAACACATTTGCCATACAGAATATCCCACAGCAAAACACTATTGGGACAATTGAATCATCATTGTTGTTAAAAGTCACCTACATTGTCACTGAATTCAATGAATTCAAAGAGAATCCTTATTGATTGTGGAAGTGTTGACAGGAAAAGAAAGGCATAATATCTTCCTCATGGAAGAAATGGAGAATGCAAGTTCATTATGCACTACAGTTGCTGCTGGATGCTTACTTCAAAATGAACTCTTCTGGAAAGAACTTCAGTTAGAAGAGATCTAGAAACAGTATAATGTATTTCAAAGAGGAATCAAGGACAATAAGAGAATTAGCAAAGCTGCTGCCATGTAGATTCTGGAAGAAAGCATTCATTCCAGAATTAATTCCAAATTATAGTAAATGTTTTATCACAAAGTAATTTTTTATGAGAAAATGATTCCTACTAAGAATCCTATGCATGATAAATACAATTTTAAATCATTTTGCCCATGAGAAGAGTTATTTGCATAATGGCAAAAATCTTAATATTTGTTACAAAATATATATAAAGCTCTCTCAGAATTCATTCTACAAACCACTTTCAATGGGTTTCACCACACCCTTCATTATGGAATCTTCTCTAAATCTCATCCAGAGAATGACATGGTGCACCGGCAGAGTGTTACTGATTTTTATTTAAATTTCTAATGTAGATAGACTATGGTTTCTCGGCATGCCCAGATGTCCTTGGGAGACATACAAAGAGGGTAAATAGGTAGAGCTTATGTTACATAAATCTTGCCAATTTACTATCAATATTCTTGGGATCCAGTACTACTTTCACACCTGCATTCAGAGACTTCTACAGGAAGCCAGAGATTATGCATCAGAGGTGAAGTGTATCCTGACGGTTGTTTTCTTATGTGGGAAGTAGGAATCAAGACTTTGGGGATATACAGTTGGTATCATGGGCTAATGGTAGGACTTAGCATGGAGTCCTGAGAATGACAAGCAGAATACAGTGTCATTTATGAGAATGAGATGAGGTTGGAGGATGATGGCTTGAGAATTGGGGGCAAGGTCTCTGGAGAGGAAGACAAAGTATGAAAGAGGCTGCTGGGATTGAATATGAAAGTCTGTGCTGTGTTTTGAAGTAGAGAAAGACTCCTATGTACAGAGCAGCACTGACTTGGTGTGGCTCATGCACATGCAGGTCAAGTGTATGGTGGTCAAAGGTGGAAAAACCAAGAACAGCCATTGGAGAGAGCTGTGAGGTTGAAAGAGCTGGAGCCCTTTGGGCAGTCCTGTATATGAGCCACTGCTGTGCAGTCCATGATTAATAAAACTAAAGTGACAAAAGTATTTTTTCAATGCTTATTTTCTGTAACCATTATGAAGTGTGATTATATATAAACTTTAAGTGTAACAAATAATCACTTTAAGAGCTACTGATGATTGAAAATTTATCTGAGACTCTAAAAGCATTCTCTTTTGTTTTGCACTTCCCATAAATGGACTTTTTTTCTATGCTTAAGGGTATTTCAATTGAGATGAAATAGCATGCCAAAAATACATCATTAGAACTCATACTATTATGCAAATTTTTATCACAATGCTAACAAAGATTTACCAGCATTGAGAAGTTTTTAATTAATTTTCTTGTGCATGTTAAAAAGGAGGGGGAAGAAATGGGACAACTGGATTGTTTCTATATAAATACCTTAACTTTCCTCTTAACCACAGCCATTTGACTGGATCCTTGGTTCCATCGGCATGTGTTTCAGTGAACAACAGACTCTCATATGCCCTGAGCAGGAATCATGCCCAACTGCCCATAAAGAGTGGGCCATAAATTCAAAGTATGCTGAAATTCTTACAGTGCCCCAAGAGGGGCGATCAACATGGCCAAGCTGATAGCCTGAGAATCATCACTCGAACCAACAGGGTGGGGGAAGGAAACTGGCTCTATCAAGCTATCCCCTGACCTCCATATCCATGTCATGATGAGCATGCATGCACTTGAGTGTAGGTATAAACACACACACACACACACACACACACACACACACACACACACACACACACTTCATGAAATAAAATTGAAAACCAAATAAATATAAAACACCTTTTAAAAAAAAAAACCAAGGATGAATAACCCTTTCCTTTATAAGTATTCTCAGTATGTAGAAATAAATTGACTTAAAATGTTTTTGTGAATCTCACAAACATTCTCAAGAAAACACAAATAGAGAATAACCCCAAGTTTTATGAATTTTATTGACTCAAGACTTCTAAATACTGGAATAAGATGCAGTCTCACAATATGCAATGTTTAACTCTATAAAATTACAATGATTGCAAAAAGAGAAAATTTTAGTATACTCATAGATTACAGGGAAAAATGTTAATTAAATGTACCTGTAATTAGCAGATACAAATTTGCCACTCACTTAAAGTTATATAAATATCACCTGTATAATAATATGTGCACTTTGGAAAGAATACTGTTTTAGTGTTATAATTTCAAAGCAATCCAATTAAAGGTAAATAAACTATTGCTTCATTACAATTTGACAATTAATGCAATTAGATAGAGAATTAAACAGGCATAAATTGAAAAAAAAAAACACTGGAGGTATAGAATCTCCCATGCGAGGGTTGTTTATAGCACAATTGGCAAGCGTTAAACATTGGGATTTTCAATTGATTAATAATGGCTGGAATGGCAATATGCTATGCAGTTATGGAACACCAATACCTCCATCTCTCTTCAGTGCCTACAATGTATTGGTCAACTAAATGTCTGCATGTCTATGTCAGCCATGTTGCTTCCTGCCACATGTTTTGGCTTGCCTTCTCTCTAAATTAATACTAGCTGCTGTCCTTGCTCCAGTCCCAGGTCCACCCAGGATAGTGAACACAGTTTGTCTTCTGTACCAGACACTCCCCACATCTTTTCCCGTGACTGTCAGACTGTGGTTGCCACAATAGGCTCACAGTGAACACTAAGTCATTGCTGAGAACTTCTTAGTGGACATGTCACAAGTACTGTCAAAACCAGGTTGACCACATAGCTTTTCTTCCTTTTGTAACTAGGGAAGAAAGTTCACGTTAAAATGAAGACCAGCCCCAATGCAATACTAGCATACAGTTGAGCATCACTTCTACTGACATGAGGGAACTAATTCCCTTAGAGAGCAGAGGCCTCCATCCACAGCGCTCTTGGCTTCTTTCTTTCTTTCTTTCTTTCTTTCTTTCTTTCTTTCTTTCTTTCTTTCTTTCTTTCTTTCTTTCTTTCTTTCTTTCTTTCTTTCTTTCTTTCT